ATTAATATATATATATATATTAAAATATATTATATTCATATATCAGTATAATTTATTATAATTTTATTTCAATATAAAATATGCTAAAATACTGATTAATAATATAAACTATTATATTTTGAATCAATTATCAACTCAATATTTCATTCAATTATGAACATTTTGTTGTAATCTTTGGATACATCTCACTACGTATATTTCATTATAAAAATTCGCACTAGAGCAAAAGAAATTTACTAAAGTTAAAGCCTACAATTTCCTTAGCTGTGTCAAAAATATTGCTTTTATAAAGTGGTATTTATTATTTTATTAATTAAAAAAATCGCTACACAGACTCCAATAATCAACACATTGAAAGATGATGAATAGAAGCCTTAATTAATACATTATTTTAGCAGATGGATTACATAAAATAAATGTTTACAAACAACACAAGCAAATACTTCATAAATTTTGATTGGAAGCAAAATGTAAATTTGAAGATAACCTTAAAAATATAATAGATACTATGCCTATTATATTTAGCCGTTAAATTTTCAATTAATATATCTAACAATTCTAAATTATAATTTATCCACATAACATCTAACATACATTTTAAAATCACAAAATTTTAGTATCTTACGGATGAAACACTTAGCACACAACCTTATGGTTGAATGGTTCATTAATAAAACAAATAAGTATGAGACTCTTTATAAAAAGTTATGAAATGTGACATTTTAGCGATGTAACTCTTTATCAACAATTACGAGATCATTCATTTATAACTATTCATTCATTTATGTGACATTATTCACTAAAAGTCTTGAGATGTATCTTTCTTAAAAGACTATTTATCTTTATCACATGGTGCAAGATGGTCTAAAAACATATTTAATTTGCATGAAAAAATATAACAAAAATAAATTGTCATTTTTTATATATGAATAATTTTCTTTCTCTCCTTGCGCATAGATAATTAATGAAATTATCCTTTGGTAAGTTGTCAGAAAATGAAAATGTCTTCAATATAAATATATTTTTAACTATTTAAAATATTTATAACCAATAAACAACGTGCTAATATGTTGTTTAAAAACATATATTAAATTGCATATCAATTCATTTGATTCAACTATTAATTTATTGGTCTATTACCTTAAACAAATTGCTCACCGATTTGAGTTTTAAAACATTGTGTGCAAGTGTTATTAGAACTAAAAAGTATGAGAGACAACAAAGTTGGTCATCCACAAAACTCCAAAACTCAAATCATATTGACATTGCACCACCTGTATATTTGCAAAATTAATCTAACTAAGTTCATGTGTTAGACTAGTTCATCTTCATCCATCCATTCAACTGTTAGTCAAACCATTTTATCCAATTTAGCTTCAAGCAACTCCACAACATTTACAACAACATAACCACTTCTTCATCATTTTTCAATTTGTGAATAATGACACAATGTTAAAATATCAATATAAAATAAGAAAACAAGTATTTTTTTCAGTTTCTCACATCATTTTATAGTGTGAAATATTTTTATACAATTATCTAATTAAAAACTATAATTTGTATGACTTATCAACACGCTTATCATTTATAAGAGAATTGTAATTGAATAATCATGTAAATCTTTTTACACTAATAATATATCATTGTTAAATTTATTTTTTTTGCACATTAATATACTCGCATTATCTTTAGACATGAAATCATGATTAAAGATATCACTTTTATTGTTGTAGGAATCATTTGATAGAAAGAGTTAATTTTTTTTATCAGATAAAATAAATATAATGCTAAAAAGTAAAATTATTAATACATTTTATTTTACTTTTAATTAATTATTTTTCTAACCATTTCTAAATGCAAAGAATGATTAGACAATAATTTAATGGAATTAAATATTTTTATTTATTTTTTACTTGTATTGATATCAAATTAATATTGTATTTATGATAAATTACACATTTTATTCGATCAAAGTCAGATCTTATTAATTAGTTATTTAAATTGACTTATAGAGGATAAAATTTCTTTTATCTTTTTTGTTGATAATAAAAAAAAGTTCAGTCTAGAATATGGTAAGACTCATAGAAGGATATAAAAATTAAGAAAAATTGGATTCTCTTTCATGAAGAAGAAAGGAACTTCTCTTAAAAAAGCTTCTCTTAAAAAAGCAAAGAAATTTAACAAGACATTATTTTTAAAATTTAACTCCTTTTAAAGTGAAAAGTTTATTTTAAGAAAAAATGAATTATAATTATTAATTAAAATTATAACTAAATGCATATGCATATATAATAAATCATGTTGATATTTAAATATAAATGATTAAGTTTAAAATAAATAAATATGACTTTAAATTCAAATCTCATTATAATTTTAATAAATAAAAAAAACTTATAATTTAAAATACATCTCTTACCTCTTATTTTGAAAATTAATTCCTTAACTTATTAAACAAAATATATTTTAAATTAAAGTCACAATATATAAATTTCAATTTTCATGAAGCCAAATCAACTTGATTCGAACACATACTATTTTCTCTCTCTCTTCAACAAATTTTAAATAATTTCATAAGTTTTTTTTTATTTCTTATAAAAATAGAATAAATTTACTAAAATGAAACAAAAATAATATATATAATTATATATATTATCTTTTACCTTATTTTAAGATTTTAAGATTTATTTTAATCTCAACCTCAGTTAGGTTCAGTAATTTTTATATTGATAAATTAATAAGATAAAATTTAAATTAATTAAAAATAATTTAAAATCGTGTCACAAATTTGAAAATCATATATTTAAAAAAAAAACTGATAAAAGGTAAAAAGAATTTTTTAAAAGATAAAAAAAGAACTGGAAGAGAGAAATTTAAGTTGAATTTGATCTGGAATCGAAACAAACTGGAAGTTCCCTTTCCATTTAGTGAGTCCAAATGATCCTTTGTTGGACGGCTGAAAACAACCATTCAACCAATAGTAAACTCCGCGCTATTGCCATTCTAACACAGCCAACCTCTCAGTGTTCTACCTCTTCACAAAGTTCACTCCTTTCAAACCTTAAATGATAAAATATCATACTTCTGCACAAGGGTTTTAATATTTGGACTGTTTTTTTTTTCCCTCTCTGGGAGTAGGAAAAAAATGGTCTCTTTCGACCAGTTTTGGAACAGAAACACGGTAACAGGTCTTGGGTTGGGACAGTTTCTTTCCCTTCTCATCACTTCCACTGGTTTCACCTCTTCAGAATTGGCCAAAAAAGGTTTGCTTGCATTCTCAGTCCTTTAAAATTCACTCCTTTATTATTAATACTATTATTATTATTATTTTATTTATATTTTTGGCTCTTAATTTTTAGTCCAACATTGTCTTTGATTGATGAATGTTTTGGATTGTTGGTCTGATTGCTTTATTTTCTTTACCAGTCCTTCCTTCCTTAAATTATTGTAAATGTGCCTTTTGATTAGTGGGTTTGGCTTACTAAATTTCATGATAACATGTTCTGTTCTTCCTTCTTATTTTGCCCTGCTCTATACTTACGTTGATTTTATGCAGTTTAAAAAAAATTGTCCTTGAATTATATTGTTGCAGGAATTAATGCACCAACTTCACAGTCGTTTCTAAACTACGTGTTTTTGGCAATTGTCTATGGGAGTATTGTTCTGTATAGAAGGCAAGCACTCAAGGTTAGAGAACGAGGCTTTGATTAACTTGCAGTATATGATGTAGTGCCTTAGAGAATTAATATTCTTAAATTTTTTATTTTTATTTTGAGTGAAATTGGAGGAAGGATATTTGAGACATTCTTATAAATGATTTGTGCATGTTAACATCATATCATTTAAGCTGGTGCTTTCGTTAGATGACAGGAAGTTATCAATGATATGTTTATAAGGACAAAACTTAGGTTAAGTTCCTTAGGTATGGTTGGTGTGATTCTCCTATTAGAGTTAGACCTTTACCTCAGTATTAGTATTATGTACTTGCATTTAATACAAATCTTATCCATATATATTTACGCATAATATCAAGGTAAAACCCCAATTCTGATTGGAGAACAACACCAATCGCATTTAATAAATTGTACCTAACTTTTATTCTATTTATAATTATTAGTGCTTTCATTCATTGCTCTCATTTTTAAATGATGAGCATCAGGTGAAACAAGGCTTGATATTGGTGGTATGCTTATAATTATCATTTTCTTTGTGTTACTTTGATAATAGAAAAGGGATAATGCTTTATGAACAATACTCGAAGGGAACAGAAAGGAATAATGAATTTGCAGAGCCATTCGGTTGCTTTTGAAGTTGTATAGAGAAGTGTTGATGTAGCACTGTATAGAGCCGGAGATGATTATAATGTTGCACAAATAGATGGGTATTTGTATATGTAAAGTGTTGTTCATATTAAAGTAAAACGAATGTTTGAGAATAGTATCTTAGAAGTCAATGAAGCTTGTATTTCTATTTTTAAAAAGTATATTGTGGATGAATGATATCTTAAGGCCAATATCTTGGGCAGCTGGTTGGTATGGACGTACAAACCACCACACTTTTGGGACATGTAGTGTTAATATGGTGCTTTTACTTGATAGCATTAAATGTGATATTGATCAACTTCTTCCATAGTCAAAAAGAACAAATCCCTAAAGAGAGAGAGGGAGATATATTGATATGCTATTTTTGCTCTATTTTCCTTTTGGCATTCAACATTGGAAGATATTTTCATTAAATTCATATGGTATTGATGCAGGCAAAATGGTATTATTACATAATTCTTGGATTGGTTGATGTTGAAGCAAACTTTCTTGGTAAGTCTTTATGATTGCAGTGACATAGTATTACTTGGAGAACATTGTTAAAAATTAAAATTAATATATTTTTATTCAATCTGCTCAAGCAACAGCAGGTCAGAGACGAATTAGAATCTTATATTCTCACGAGGCAACTATAGGGCTCAATTTTAATTGTCCAAATTTAGATTGCTTCAGTATAACTGTAATATATTTTTTTCTATTACGTTTATTGTTGGACCATTCATACATATTCTAATGAAGCAAGCAACCAGTTGAGTTGCATTATTTCACTTTTGATGATTTACATTCTAATTCTCATCTAATGAACAGTTGTAAAGGCGTATCAATACACATCACTAACAAGTGTGATGCTGCTTGACTGTTGGTCCATCCCATGTGTCATGCTTCTTACGTGGATTTTCTTGAAAACAAAATATAGATTCAAAAAGATAACTGGTGTAGTTGTTTGCATTGCTGGCCTTGTCCTGGTTGTATTTTCAGACGTCCATGCAAGCGACAGAGCAAGTTGGTGGCTTATAATTTCTTTAATATTGACCCCTATATCTTTCTCTTTGTTAGTTGTATAATGATATATGCACATTCTATAGGTGGAAGCAACCCTCGTATAGGTGATCTTCTTGTTATTGCTGGTGCTACATTGTATGCTGTCAGCAACGTCAGTGAGGTAAACTGATTGCACTTCTGCTTTTAACACATTTTGTGGTGTTCAATTTACTGTGTGAATATACTCATATTGAAAACTTATTTAATTAATCCAAACTTTCAAGTTATAGTACCGAGCTTGACTCTGGGATCTTGACAGCAAAGAATATGTTACATTTGGGCTAATTGAGATGCTCCCACATGATTCATCTGCATTTAGGTCATATTAATATTTCATTATGTGCAATCTCTTTTTTTATTGTTGTTTCTTTCCAATTACAGGAGTTTCTGGTGAAAAATGCTGATAGAGTTGAATTGATGGCAATGCTGGGTCTCTTTGGTGGCATTGTTAGTGCCATTCAAATGTATCCTTAAAATTAATTTTGTTAAGAGTAGGCTTATATCCTTCAGTTGAATATATTTTCTTAACTACTACTTATTTATCTGTCTGTCTTCAAACTCGTGCTTTATGCAATTTGCATTTAGGAATCCATTTTATGACACATGCTCAAACTTCGTTTCCAGCATCTATTATACAACATATATTTGTATTTATTTGGACTCTCCACACATCTTCATTCATGAATCCATTGCATAGCTGAGCTGAAGCGTCTAATTGCAATCTTTAAGCTAAATTCAAATATTGCTTTATGCAGTGGTTAAATAAATCAAAATATGTTATTATCATATTGTGTTGGAGATTTTAATTTTAGAATTAACTATGAAATGTTAAACTAGATGGCACAGTTTATCAAAGATGAGAGATAAAGATAAAATTTTGGTATCAAAATTTCCCTTTAAATTCAGAAAGTTAAAAAAAAGAAAGTAAAATAAGACACTTGCATTTATTGCATGGATCACATTGTTAGTTCTCTCTCTTTTTCCCCTGTTTTTGCCTTGATGATTAATACTTATTACAGAAGCATACTTGAGCGCAATGAGCTCAAATCTATTCACTGGTCAGCTGGGGCAGTAAGCTCTCTCTCTCTCTCTCTTACACACACACACACACACTCTATTATTGAGTAATTGTCAAAGTTCTACTTTGGCTAAGATGTCTGCAAGGCTGTAAGAGTCTATCTCAGATGTACCTGTTTGACTATATACATAAAACCCTGAGTTGCTTTTTGTTTGCAATTGTGGAATGGAATAGTGAGTCTGGTCCTTAGAATTGCAATGTGCTCTTTTTCTTCGAATCAGGGGTAAATAAATTTAGAACCATCGTCATCCACAACTGGCCTGATGATTAAGGATTTTTTCTACTTTTTTTTTTAATATATATTTTACCACATCCCTTTTATATTATCTGTTTTGTATGTCAAATTGTTTATGTTCTAGCAACATTCCAGTTTATTATTTATGCTATTTATGTCCCTTTCTTGCCATGCTGATTGCAGGCCCTTCCTTTTGTTGGATTTGCAGTGGCTATGTTCTTGTTTTACTCTTTAGTCCCAGTCCTACTTAAGGTGTGGATTCAAACTATAATGATTCTGCAGATTTTATAATTTGAAATTATATGTTCTTGTTTTACTCTTTTAGTAATTCTTAGGTTTTATTGTTTATTATTTTTTTATTGTATAATTCTCTATTATTTTTACACTAATGTTTATTTCTTGGATCAAATGTTTCAATAATATAGTTGGTATTGTGAAAAATTGTTTACCCTTGAAGTTGCTTGAGAATGTTGCTCAGTCCTTGGACTATACTTGGCTGACTGGTGATAGCATCTATCTTGCATCACTTATAGTATTGAAGTATCTGATGGCATTAAACCATCTTACAATTCAGATTTAGCTTTACCAAAAGGAGAAAGTATTTTTAAATATTGTCTGTTGTTTTGTCACAGATGAATGGTTCAACTATGTTAAATCTGTCTCTATTGACCTCTGACATGTGGGCTGTCTTAATTCGGATTTTTGCTTACCATGAAAAGGTCTGTCAGCAACCTTCACTTGCACTATTTTTACCACTTAGATGAGTGGCATGTAGAGTGTGCTAACTTTTATAGTGCCAATTTTGCTTTACAGGTTGATTGGATGTATTTTGTGGCTTTTGGTGTTGTTGTTGTTGGTCTTATCATCTATTCTGTGTATGTAATTCCACACTTTGTACGCATAAATTTATTCATTCTTTGCATGCTGAATCATTGAGGCGTTAGTTCTCAAAAAGACCTATCTGCATGTACTATTGGCCAGTGATGATTCTAGTTCACAATCCTGTTTTCAAGTTTTACTCACGAGAACAGCAAGGTTCCTAATGTTGTTTAATTTCACTAATATAATTTCTGATCTGATTGCAGAGGTGAGAAAGATGAGAATCAAGACCCTCTTCATGTTGCTGAAGATGCTGACCAAAGACAAAGACAGCATGATGAAGAAGCTACTACTTCAGGTAAATCATAATATAACAGAACTCAGGCTGGGAGCTCAAAAAACTAAGCACGCCTTAAGAGGTGCTTGAAGGGTGAAGTCGTGAGAATTCAGATTTCAGAATAAGCATTCGATTCGATTCAATTTGTGCTGATGGAATTGAGTTTCTTGGAAGTTGATAGGAAAATTTCAGTCAATAATAGTTTTCTAAATTTGATATTTAATTACTTTGAAGAAAGAAAATATATAAGATAGATTTCCGGAGATAATGAGTAGCAGCCATTTATTATTTTCGTGTGAAATTTAGGATGTACTTAGGTTTTGGATTATCCTGTGACAGTTTTGAATTTATTCATCCCCATGATTGGGAGCAATTGTTAATGGTACCCTTCTTCGATGTCCAATCTCTCACAAGCAAGAAAATTTATATCAGAGAAACATATATATATTGAATAACATTGGAACAAACAATATTAACACGATTGCTTTTATGGTTTATAAAAAATAAAATAAAATATTAACACGGACACTGCATAATTTATAGTCAGAATCCCACCATAATTATCACGTGTAAATATTGATGTACAAAGGCACAACGGGAAAATAATATATTGATATTAGCACTGTTTGGTGTCGGGGGGGGGGGGGGGG